ATTTTGATATCTGGTGGGTATGCTATGTGTGACTTGGGTCACAAATTTCGGTGAAGATAGCTCTTGTGCTCAGAAGAATCAACGTGAGTCCCCTGGTAACTTGTTCATGAACTGCAGAGGCTATTATTTAAAAGACAACTTAAGAACCGGGAGAATGATAACCTTGATTATGGTATGTAGGCCGCTTTAGTGATGCTTGACATAATTAGATGATGATCTTGGTCTAATTTGCATAAATTATGAGAAAACCCATACAAATCTGCTTCGTCCCTTGACTATTGAAACTTCTGCCATGTAATTGAGAACGAGAAACATCGGAAGATAATAATTATTCACACGAAGACCTAATTTACATAATTAATCAGGAAATGCAATGCTTCTATAGTGGTTACTGCCAGGAGCTTTCGGGAAGTTACGTGAAGGTGAACATTATTATTTAAGCATGGATCTCATTTGCATAATTCATCAGGAAATGCTAGAGTAGCCTTCTTCCGTATGAGAAGACTGTCATTAGGTGGGGAATACAGTATGACATACTGATATAATTCATCTAAATGACGAGCCAATTTGCATAATCATTGAGAAACATTTATAAGTCATCAGTCCTAAAGGTTAACATCATTCGGCAAATGCATGAGACCGTGGAACTCTTAATGCTTCAATGTTAATGCTATCAAAGGGTGCATGTGTGGTATAAATTTATGTTCATTAAGTTACACTTATAGACGATACGAAAATGTTGTATTTTAGTGTCGTAGACACTTCAAGCGACATCATTTCACATTGGGAGTGCACGTGGCTTTGTTTTACTGTTGCTGGAGTGTAGACTCCTTTCGCAGACTTGTGGACAATCGGGCGGTGGCGTTAATTTTTTTTTCAGGGAGCGACGCGAGTTTAGCCTCTACCACGCACCGCGGATCTCTGGAGAAATAGTAGAAATTGGCCGAAATAAAAGAATGATACCAGGGGAGTTAGCTGGCCAGTGGGTCGCAAATTGGAGCTTCTCTAGCCAGCTAACTCCCCTGGTATTATTATTCCTTTATTTCGGCCAATTTCCACTATTTTTCCAGCGATCCGCGGTGCCTGGTAGAGGCTAACGCGAGTTATGTGCGGGGGAAGATTTGCCGTCTACGAGAAGATAGTCTTTTGCCATCGTTTTGCGGCGAAAGACTCTCTCCTCGGCAAACTATCTCGGCTGCAAATCTCCCTCCGCATAACTCCTGTTGCTCCCTGAAAAAAAATTGACGCTGCCGCCCTACAATCTGTGAAGGAGGCTTCCTGGGGAGAGGAATACCTACTGATTCATTAATATTCAAGTACAGGCATCAACAGATAATAATGCGAGCCGTGAAATTGGGTTCTTTTGGGGGATTTTTCCTGGTTCGGACAGTGATAGATCAGTTAATGACGCCTCTCTGCCAGTATTTGGCTATTTTTATGTAACTCTGTGACATCCATTGATAATTTCCAACTAATATAATAGTAAAAACATGCTCATTTGGGCTCTACATAGTAATACGGGGATACTTATAATTAGTACTTGAAATTAAATGAAGCTAGTTAATAGTAATGCACACATTCATAATAATTTTATTATTATTATTGCTCCCTAATATGTCAAATATTAGTTCAATAATATGAGGCAATATCATCTAGTAATAAATGTATCGAAAATTACTTAAACCTCAGAACTAGTTCAACAGAAGGCCAGAAGATGGGGATCAGCAAAGTTTATTTGATAAAAACACTGTCTTTTTTGTAAAATCATATATTTTGGTTCTGATGGTTGAACAAATAACTAAACACACAAACGTGACGAATTTATTTATTTTTTATTCAGCTTTACAGAAATTAAAATTCTTTGAGGAGCCGGCAACCGGAACATAGAGTTCCTCTACTAGACCGACTCCTCTAAATGATGGTAGCTGCTTTCCAAGTCATGCAACAAAAGGTGGACAGCAGTAAAATCAAATCTAATGCGTCAAAGCAAAAACATGTCTATAACTCAAAGTCACCATGACGTTCCAATGTCAAAAACAAGAAGTTCAGTAAATTAAACAGAGGTCCAAGTTCAAAAGATGGCGATAAGATATGAGGTTAACGAAATTCACCCATATTAGAAGAGCTTTTCTCCCACCACTAATGGCATGCTGATAAAAGCTCGGTTTATTTAAAATGTTTTGTAAAGCGAGCAAAAGTGGTCTGAGTGAAAATTCTGTTTTCTTTAAACTTACTGCATGCCTTCCTTTTTATCATCGTTTTGTAATTTCCGAATTGTCTGAACTGAGGCCTTGTTGATTTCGTTATAAGGATGACATCCACGTGCTCTTGAATTTTGGCTATGTTTAGAGTTAGACCATACAGTAAATCGTACAATTGCCGTAAACACACCGTAAATTGCCAAAATTGGAAAACGATCATAATGTCATAGGATGTCAAGTTCCAAAGAAAAAGGAGAATGTGTATAAATGAAAATAAAAGTCTATTTACTAGTTGAATGGGCAGGCCAGCCGTTTCATATTGAAATAAGTAAACTAGTTCTGAGGCTGTTATATTTATTTTAACGTACAATGCATTTCCTAAAAGCTGAATAGCATATATAAATAGCTTAATATTTTTGAATGCTTAGACCTTGTGTGTAATATTTTGCCGCTTATAGAGTCTTGATAATCCTCATGTAACGTTAGAGCATTTTTCATGAGCTACATATAATAAATGCATATAATAAGTCTAAAATATGTTATACCAACTTAATTCCATTTTAGGTAAACCCATATCCCTATAAAGAGCCCGAATGAAAACGTCTGATTATTTTATATTTAATACGATTGTTAATTATGTCCGGTTTCAAACAGCTACACAAAAATAGCCAGACGTGACTGCCTGGTCATCATCCAACATCCGGAAAATCCCCATACAGACCCCGATCCTTAGGGGTCGCGCTATGTGTGGCACATATTTATGCTGCAGTTTTTTAATCAGCAGATACTCCTCTCTCAAAAAAACCAACAAACAGTAAAACCATTCACCAAAGCCAATAAACATGTGAGATGGTGTCCATGTAAATGACTAAAGTCCAAGAGATAAAAGTTCTGCTTTCACTGGTTCTGATAAACCCATAGAATACCCTTCTAATGTCAATATATAACTTTGGGCCCTTGAAACCATGGAGCCCGTGTTATATGAGAAAATAAAACTTGTGTTCATGTCTTTTACAGACTTATCAAGCTAGTCATTACAATTTCAGTAATTTTCAGTCAAAAATTGTTTTGACTTTCAAGGGTCCCCAAGGGCTGAGAGAACTCCATAATGAACAAAGTAGGGGAGGGGGAAGAAATCACACACCTTTTATGCATACAAAGTATGGGCTGACCCCCCCCCCCATCTTCCGACTTCTGTCTTGTCTTCTGCGAAGTGACATTTGGTATATTAATATCTCAACAGTATATCATTATGTAGCTCTTTCCTATTGTTATTATAATTTATCCCAAAATAGACTGACCCACATAGCTTAAGTTACGAATTGTTGTTATGTGCCATTTACAACACATAACGATGTACGGACGTCATTACATTTGTTGCGAATTGTCATTTTCTGTAACAGTTCAACTATAGTTTGTCATGCAATAAAATGTGGAGGCTTGAGTAGTGCATGTATTGGCTTCCTATATGTTTGGTAAATATTCTTAATATAAATAAATATATTGTCACAAGATATAGACCTTGGTTAACTCAACATAAGTACAGTGACATACTGACATTCAAACAGACATGTTGGTACAAAAGAATTGAACTACATACAAGACTATGGATGAACTAGAGAAGTAACATATGCAAAGCAAATGCATAATGTTTACCTTCGGACATGGTCTGCTCTGTCAATTCTTACTCAAACACATTCACATACATGTAACGTTACTACTAGTATATAGTGACAGGAGCAAAGCAGACCATAAAATTGCAACATCATGTAACCCAACACCAGTTACCATGGTGTTGGGTGTTAAAATTCACTGAGCTGGGCATGAATAATGTAGCAGCAACTGTTCTCCTCTGTTTTTAGTCCCGTCGCGCCATTATCATTTTTGCAAGTCCACGGGCTTCGTTTAGTTAATTAACAGACAGACATTCTCTCTGTATGCAAAGGAGGCAGGAAGTTTGAAATTCTTTTTTTATCTTATGATTATTATGCGTTTCACAGATTGTGCCCCTATGTGGCCCATTCAGTGAATCCGACACGTCTAACGTAGTACATGAGTTACCCTTGGTCTTGAGCTATCGTTATTAATTTTTTTTCAAGTTCACGCCCGGCTAGCAGCCCATAGGTGGGACATGTTGATGTAATATGACGTAATACTAGTAGTACAGCCTGCCTAGTAGGGGGCTGCAAGGCTAGTGTATTCCGCTAGAGGGCGGTTATACTTACTGTAAAATCATATACAGATACGATCTGTGTTTACTAGTACGTTCAGCATGCTGGTTTTTATTGGTATGGCTAATTTTTTACAACAACTAGAGAACTTTTAACTTATCACTCGATTTTGAAGAACAGAGATACGAGTAATAGAATAATGCATAATTTCATTAAAAAATGTCAAACCTTTAAATGATAAAAATGTAATATCAATATCATGTTGTTACAGAAAATATGCTTATTACATAATGCAAAGGTCATGGCAGGTCTCAGAAACGGTAGCAAATAGATGCAATTTTTTTCATATCATTTTCATTATTCATATTTTGTCATACGCAGTGTTATAGTTGATTACAATTTGAACGCTATTTATAGCAATAATTATCTTGATGGTCATACTAAAGCAACTTATAAAATTTTATACGTACATTTATTTCATATGGGTACAACACGATGCACTTGGAAATTTGTTCGCTTTATCATGGTAACAACAAATTATGCTATTTACAGACGGGATAAATCAAAGATCTGATTGGAGGCTTAACGTCACTAGTTGCGCAAGACAGCAAGCTACAACAAAGCCTAATTATTTTACATCCTTTTTATACATGTGGCGCGCTGCCATCTTCTGACGAAGTTTGGTCTGGATCAGACGCCTGTTCATCATCTGTTGGTGTTCCAGTCGTTTCTTGTCGGCAGCATGTTGTTCTATTATCTCCTGAGCTCTCTGCTCCATGGTTTGCTTCTCCTCATAGGGTTCCATATGTAGCTGTGTTTTTCCTCCTCTCAGCCAGTCTCCTCTTCAGTGTGGCTTCAACTCGACGTTTGTTCTCGTTCTGTGCTTCTACATATCTGACCGTGGCTTCTTTCTGAGTCTCTAGGAGACTTTCAATTTGCTCTTTGACATCAGATGAAGGCTTGTCTGTTGTGTCGTATGGCCAAAGTGATCTTGTGACGTCCAAGGTTTCATGTAAAGAGTCTTCAATCAGTTGCAATGTTGCGTTCAGCTCGATTTCTTTATGTTTCCCTGCAAATGAGATAAAATTGGAACAAGGGAAATCGTAGATTTCAAACCTCCGGTTTTGTTTTGTACTATTGGTTTAGGTTATTTGTTTGTGTGTAGTATAAAAGTTATGTGTGTAATATTTTTGTATGCGTCTGATGGCTACTGACGGTTGGTTCGGTATGGACTGTTGATGGTTTTCTATATTATGGTGTTTTTAATGGGTCTGGCTGAAATCTGCCGTCAACTTGCACCGTCACCCATACCGCTACCCACGCCGTTAGCCACACTATAAACACGTGCCGTCATCCCGCGCCGTCATACCGTGCCGTCATACCGTACCGTCAGCCGAACTAACCGTCATCCATAGAACAATATTTAAACCGGACCATGCAAATGCGCTAACATTCCCGCGTATCACCCATCGCCTTTAGTCTGGGCCGACAACGGAACTAGCAGTATTACTATATACCAACAAGACAATGACAAAGACGAAATTAATATCAACACAAATCAAAATATTCCTCTGCAACTCATAACCTGCACATCTGTGTTGTCATCATCACAACACNTGTCACCTGTGTATTTGTTTACCTTTTTATACCTCCAGGATGTATGTGACAAGGTTTTGCTAGTCTGTCTTATGATGTATTAAATGATCCATGGCTTTTTTGCCAACAGAAACTGGATCATCGCCTTGAAGGTGAAGAAACCATACAGTAAGCGGCTCAAGCTCAAGCTGTCCGGAGTACATGTCACCAGACGAGCCAGTTTATGATGAAAATGGAAATATTTTTTTTACTAAGGCCATTCTTTGGCTGCCCACATCTACAAAATACAAAAGTGAGCTCGACCAAAAATTTGAAACTTCATACTAAAGTGAACAGGTAAAACGGCAGTGAACAAAGAGGGTACCTGGCCCAGTGACCCTTATTCCACTTCCAAGTCTAAAAATCCCATCTTGTTAGAGTTGAATCAATGGATTTCTAAATGTTAACTTAGGTCCAGTATTATTTCTGGTGAATTTTCTGAGGCCAGTGAAACACGTTTTCCATTATTTGTATCCGAATATGTACCCCAAGTTCACTCTTTTGGGGTAACTTTTCAGTGGACAGAAATGTTTGTTACAGTTTTTGTTTGTTTACTATGACCTCAAGTGTAAAGGCATAGCTTACTGTTAGGGGGTAACGTTGGACAGAAATGTTTGTTACAGTTTTTGTAAGTGGTAGCAAAATGGATAACTATGTAACCCAAATGTAAGGACATAGCTGTCTACTTAGGAGTGGTAATTGCACACGATATGTTTCAGGCTATACTGTGTATTGATAATAAACTATTTAGTTGCAGGAGCTCCTATTAAGCCTGTACGTATCCGAATGTATCCTGAATGGGAATATGGTGAAGGTATTAAAGTTCAAATCCTGAGTTACGCATTTGTCAGGGGTCATTTCTGTACGAATCCCGGGCAAATCCGAGCGTATTCTGTGTGGAATATATACTATAAGAATCCCGTTTTTCGGATTTGTACGGAATAGGTTCCGGATAGCAGTAACCGATGTTTCGGATTTTCTGGCGAATTCCATTCTGATCCGTCAGTATCCGCTTGTATCTGCGAAAAATACGGACAAATCCCGGTACGCATCTGCTTGAATCCGAGGCCATTTCGTGCAGTGGAAGCTGTTACGCTTTGCCGGGCTGACACGAGGGCAGTGTTTGAGCGGAAGACTATTACTGTTAACATGAAGCCTGCACGCTGGGCCGGGCTGACACGAGAGTAGCCTTTGAGTTGAAACTAGCAACACGGTGCCTGCACACTGCTGGAAAGGGCTGACGGTTGAGCCGAATAGCACGAAGCCGGAACACGTTTGACACGAGGGCGGCGTTCGAGGCGAATAACACACAGCTGGCCCGCTGAACGAGGATGACACGAGTGTGGCGTCGGAGCCGAATGGTTAATCCATCTGAGGCAGTTTAACATGAAGTCGGCACGCCGGGCTGACATAAGCGTTGCGTTGGAGCCGGAATGACACAAGCCGGCGGCTGGGCCGGGCTGGCACGAGTTCAGGGTCAGAGCCGGAGGAACGCGAAAGTCACTTTATTGGACAGAAAATGCATCGAAATAAGTCCAACTTCACTCAGGCCTGGAGCGCAGTCGCGGAAGTACGTCCTGTACGGGAGACCGGCTATAGCCAGGCGTCTTATTAGAGCCGGATATGAGGTCGAAGGAAGTGAGAGTGTGTGATTGAACTAGGCTATGGCTGGTCTGCTGGAACCGAGAGCCTGATGTGCCAACGTCCTTATGGGTTATGACAAGGAATATTTTTAACCTCCTTGATTAAACCTATGCAGTGACAAGCCGTATGTCCGTTATTGACCTGTGTTTCCAATACTGCCGCGTGAACGGTTGAATGACCCGGATTGCCGGGCGATCTAGACAGCTAAACGTGTGAACAAGTCCGAATTTACAGATAACGTAAACAAGCGGCATGAGGCGTCAAGCCGAGCGGCCGTTGCCAGGGCGACCGCCCGTCTGGCTGCCTTGCTCTGAAGCGGAACGCTAGCGAGGAACAGGGCTACAACAGTACAAGCTGACCACGCTCTCCGCGCGTGATCGAACCGGGACGCGTGGGGGGTCCGCCGGCGTAGTGCAACATCTGGTACCCAGCTTGCGAGTGGGATTTGTAGCAGAGTGCACCAAACTTGATCGAACTATCGGAACCTATTTATTTCGTGTGGCATGGCATCATTTGATCCGTTGCGACGTTTAATACCGACTTGCAAATTCACCAGTAATCGTGTCCACATAGACGAAGTCGAAATATAACGGTCACGGCCGGCGCGGTGAAGTCATAGTCTATAGAGTTACAGATCGTGCGAGATGAATCCGTACTCACGGTGCCTGCGCGTCAAAATAACTGGGGCGAGCCCGAAGCGAAATGTACTCACTGTCCGGATCCGCTCTCTGTGTCGCCGGTAGAAAGCTGAGGCAGGCTTATTGCATGAGCGATCCGCCACGTGAAGACCTGAAAATTGGCGGGGCCCTACAGGCGTTCTGGCCGGAGCCTGGCGGGCCGTGACGCGGGGCGAACTCCCTTCTCGAGGCGGGGAATCCAGTCCTCCACGTGGTGGAAAAGAGGCTCCATCAGAAGGACTGCATGGTAGAACTAATCAGATCGTAGGAATCACGGACAGGACTACAGTAGCGCGGTAGAAAGCTCAGAAAATTCGGATGAACTCAAGTCAGGAAAATTCGGATGAACTCAAGTGCGTGAGCTCCCACCGCCCGCTACGCTACATGTGATGACAATAGACAGGAGATGACCTCTGGGTCAAGTGAGGTCAGGGGTCGTATTCCGTGCATCTAATTAATTCATTTGATCTATCGCCCAAATAACTACGATGAAGGCTTGTCTGTTGTGTCGTATGGCCAAAGTGATCTTGTGACGTCCAAGGTTTCATGTAAAGAGTCTTCAATCAGTTGCAATGTTGCGTTCAGCTCGATTTCTTTATGTTTCCCTGCAAATGAGATAAAATTGGAACAGGGGAAATCGTAGATTTCAAACCTCCGGTTTTGTTTTGTACTATTGGTTTAGGTTATTTGTTTGTGTGTAGTATAAAAGTTATGTGTGTAATATTTTTGTATGTGTTTGATGGCTACTGACGGTTGGTTCGGTATGGACTGTTGATGGTTTTCTATATTATGGTGTTTTTAATGGGTCCGACTAAAAAAATCTGCCGTCAACTTGCACCGTCACCCATACCGCTACCCACGCCGTTAGCCACACTATAAACACGTGCCGTCATCCCGCGCCGTCATACCGTGCCGTCATACCGTACCGTCAGCCGAACTAACCGTCATCCATAGAACAATATTTAAACCGGACCATGCAAATGCGCTAACATTCCCGCGTATCACCCATCGCCTTTAGTCGGGGCCGACAACCGAACTAGCAGTATTACTATATACCAACAAGACAATGACAAAGACGAAATTAATATCAACACAAATCAAAATATTCCTCTGCAACTCATAACCTGCACATCTGTGTTGTCATCATCACAACACACGAAATTATCATCATTTCTTTTCAGCCTACCACAAGAACGCTCGGTAAAACACAAAATGCCAACCGAAATTGTTACATTGTGCAACAATCAAAATAACGTTAACAATGATAGACCCGAAATACTGCGCCAAGTAAAATTAGTTCTCTACCATTTTCTCTACGGTCGATCGGAACCAGACACCCCTCTGTTTGACCCCTTTTTGAATGGTTAGACCCAGCAGCGCCCTCACCCCAATCCTTAACAACAGGGAAATCAATTAGGAATACCATTTTTATGACGGTGGGGGTGTCCGGAGCACTTCAACACCTTTTATTTCGACGCCCATAAACACATATGCAATCAAAAGAAAACGTTCTGCATCATCTTCAGTCCAATAGCAATACGTATACCGAACCCCAGACAAATCCGTCCAGCCGATTGCGAGAAACAGCTGCTGACAGAAATGGTTCGCACGGTAGTAAAACCTTTCCGCGGAAGGATATCTCCTTCCCCGGATGTAAATACTTTTACAAGTTTACAAGTTTACAAAATTGTATTTGCTAATTTGATATTTCCTATAGGGAGCAGTGTTTTAGCATGACGTCTCAAATACACTTTTCGAGTCGTGTCTCTAATATAAGTTGCATAAAACAAAACAGAAAAGAAACGAATTGACCGATTGCTTAACAAAGATTTGGACAGCACACTTAAATGTACAGTTAAAATGCGGAGAAAATAACAACAAATCCTTTCGTGTTTAAACTCAAAGTTTAGAATTCGATTCATAAAGAAAATTCACAAAAAACGAAGAAAGCTAAATAAACTAGAAAGGCCAATATTTGCTTTGGAGCAAATACAGCGATGGGTTCACCACATTTTACCACATGGCAGGGAAAGAATGAGAAACACAAGGGAAAACAATGATTTACATTGATATAACTATGATATGAAGTAACATACAACTAAAACAACAGTTGGATAGCTATTCCCTACTTTATTGGTTAGGATTTTTAATTGCATAATGCAAACTGTTGATTTTCAAAATAAAAAAAACGTTCATGCCCCGCATTCCAATGCTGGAGCAGAAAAGCTTGAAATACCTACCAAAACACTTGAATAAAGACATACTGTCAGTATGGAAATGCTCTGTGCAGGTGTTAATCAAGTTAAATCCCAACAGCCAATCAGCAAGAAATGCTCTGTGCAG